TGCCTGAGGGACAAATTCTCTTTTATGTTATATGGAAATAAATTGAGAGGAACTCTATTGAAGTGAATGGAAGCAGCTCACATTAAAATCACCATAATGATAATAGAAGAAAAAAATCTTTTAGTGGATGTTGCTATCAAAATCTTTATTTTCTTTCTTTGACACACTGAAATGCTTTGCTGCTTATTCCAGCTTTACCATTTCCAAAACATAGGCTTCATTCTAAAGAGTGAGTCCAGAAAAGTGTCATCTGTTGGGGCCTTGCTTAAGGTCTGTAGATGGCTTTTAAGTAACTATAAAATAATAAATTATAGTGGCCATCTTGTAAAAGAAAATGCAGATTAAAAAAATCCAAAAAAGGTAGCAGGGGAGCTTTGTTCAGCTATAGATTTGTTACTGTATATCTGACTCAGTGTTTCACAAAATGACAGCATGGTTGAGGTTGTAGAGGACCTCTGGACGTCAACTTGTCCAACCCCCCTGCTCAAGTAGGTCCACCTAGAGCCAGTTGCCCAGGACTGTGATGGCTTTTGCATATCTCCAAGGATGGAAACTCCACAACTTCTCTGAGCAGCCTATACAAGTGCATGGTCACCCTCACAGTGACAGTATTCTAGGCACAGAAATAAGAAACTTCACCCATATCTTGAAGTGACTCTTACAATGATCTTCCCACACAAAAATGAGGCTGAAAGGGCTGAAATGATCATTGGCTGCATGAGGAGCATAGCTGCTAGAAATGGGAAGGCACTACTGCGCTGAGATTTTGCAGAAATCCGCAGATGCTCAGAGAAAGGTTTGGGTGCTGCAGGATACCTGCTGAAGTTGGTTCCCTGTAGGTATCCTGCTGGCACCCACCTGAATAGTGTGGTTGCTACCGTGCTAGGCAGGATGGAGAAGAGATGATTGCCTTGGCTGCTGAAAGGGCCTACGCTTTCTGGCATATCTGGGGGTGAGAAGGGGGCTGCGCAGCTGCTTAAGGATGTGCAGTGAAGAGCACTGGCTTGCTCTGAGACCCAATTTTTCTTTAACAGATTCATAGCAACCCAATGAAAAGCTTTACTGGCAAGGAAGAAATGTACTTTTGTGTTTTGTTCTGAAACGCTGCCAGAAAGATGACTTAACTGAGCTACCTGACAACTTCTAGGAAATACTAAATGAGTTCGTGCACAACTGTATTTTGGTAAAGTTGCATTTTTGGGACACATATGTTTCGGTTCCACTCATACTGTCAAGCAATAAAAAGTTGAAAGATCAAAAGTTTATATTAAAACAAACAAACCTCAAAACCCAACCACTTTGCATTTTTTTAGCCAGTGTGGTCCCACCCTCACTGTGTGTTGGTTTCAGAGCCTTTAAGGTATAGAGTTGTACTTCCCAGCTTTCTCAGTACAGTCCCTGAATTGCAAAAATCCTATTGACTTAAAGGGACCTGGTATTTCCTCCTTTAAGCTTTTTTTGAATAGTGTGATTTGCACTGATTGCAGATACAGTGGCTAAATGAAATACTGAATGTCATACAATTGGGCAGCCCTCTTTGTAAGCACACATTTGCATGTCTCTTTTCTTGCACATAGATGGGTGTACTGTGTGACCAGGATCAACCCACCTGGATAGGTATTGTATGTTGTTTTGTTTGGGTTTCTTAACAGCAGATCCCTAATAGTTAAGAGAACTCGAATTAGCAATAAGATCTTTAGAATTACTCATTGTCGCTTCAGAAAGGCTATGCAAATCCCCTTTTTTACCACTGCGTATTAAACTGAGATGTGGCTAGGATTTTAAGGTGTAAATTAGGTAACCAGTGTGGTAATAGCATGTAAGTTCCTGCTTTTACATGGGTTTGTGATAGTAACTGCAAACTATGCTTTGACTTGAGTAAAATCTTAATTAATGCCAAATAAACTTGATAAATTCACTGCCTTATGTGCAGGAACAAAATTTGGTATATTACGTAGAGTCTTCTACTTACAATATCAGAGCTAAAAAAGCTTAGAAGAGAAGTAAATGTGTTTGTTATTAATTTAGGACTCACATGAGATGAATTCACTGTATCTCCTGTATTACTGTAATTATATCCTGTATTAGTATATTGACAATATACTGCATCTTACTTAAAATTACATGTTATTTTTTAAATTCTCAAGCAGTTGATTCACCTGGAAATTCATAACTTACTGCAGCAGATTTCCTCAGAATAACTGCAGTGTATCTCCTTCCTTTCAGCAAATGTGTTATATGGTTATAAGGGTCTTAAAGCTGTGAATGTGGAACTTGCACTGACTTCCATTAGAGGATCAGACCCAAATCTTTGCAGAGTCAACCTCTTCCCAAAAGATTAGAGCATTTGGTTCCACTTGTGAGTTTTAAACCTTTGTATCTTAGTAATAATATATTTTTGCAGTAGTTGTTAAAAAACAAAATGCAGTAAACAGTATTGAAGGAAAAAAACCTGCAACCCCATATGCAAATACTGCTAGACTCTGGTATCTTCTTTAAAATAGTCCTTAGTTTACATTTCTCTCAACATTTCTGACTCAGAACATTTGAGGGTGGCCTGCAGGTTGCCATGCCTGAAAATACTCCTACTACTTGCTGTGGTACCCTGTCTCTCACTTGACAGTCTTCCCTCAGCCTTTGCATCCTTATTAACAGAGCTGGTCGTGCTGTTTGCAACCCGATTGGTAGCAGCGACCTGGAGTTGCAGTGACCACTGGGAGGGAAGGACCTTCTCGTGGTGCTCGTAGTACCACAATGTTCCATAATGCTCTGTGTGTTCACCCAGACAAACAGCTTTACACAACTGTGGAGATTAATCATCTCCAGTGCTTGTAGTTTATTAACAGGCACATACCGGATCATTAGTTTAGGCTCATGGCTTGATCTCATGCTTCTGTTCTCTTCTGGCAAGTTGAAACACTTTATAAATAGTAAATGAAGTGAAAATGGGATTAAAAATGAAAATAATGCTATGAAGTATGAAAAACATGTTGTTGTTTAAATAAGTTAGTAGTTGGAGGAGATATTTTACCAAATTGCTTTTTCAAGCTTTTTTCCTCTCTAATTTTTGATTACATTTTTCCTCACTGCATTTTAAAATCCTAGTTATTAGATGCTCAGCAGATAGTTTTTACAACTATAAATTTTACACTGATAGTGCAATTTGTTTATTAGGATGTAAGAGCAGAAAAGTAGCGTTCCTCAGCGGGTCTTGTCAAAGCAACCTGTTTGAGGGAATGAATCTTCATTTTGCGATGTGCAGGCACAGTGCTCATTAGTGGAAGCAAAGGCAGAACAACCCACCTCGCAATCCATTCATGGGGCTTTGTAGCCTTTCTGTTTATGAGCAAACATCACTAATGACCCAATAGGTGAGACGACTGCAGAAAGCTGCACTTCTCTGGGCTTGCCAAAAAGAAGCCTAATAAAGCATCCAGAGTCTGTTGAGCCCTGCTCTCATCTGTTGAGCCCTGTATTTGTTAGTGCTGGCAGAGGATGGACAGAGGTTTCTTGAATTCTCACAAGCTGTGGAAATCAGGCCAGTGTGTTTTGTTGCTTTGTCACAAAAACGCAAACAATGAGCAGAAGTGCATGTTCTTAAAATTCACACAGAAAGAGAGACAGGAAAGCTGCTGTCTCTTAGTATTGTATTTCTGACAGTTAATTACAAATGTTTCCTGCACACCTGACAATGAATTGTAATGGACTGTAATTATTAAGCATGAATATGTGGTGTATTTTGATTTGAAATCCAGTGCTAGTTACTTAAGTGCAAATCTGAACGCTGCAACAACAAAATGGTGGCTGATTTACACATGTGGTTTAATTTTCTGTTCTGAAATAAGATGAAGCTGAGGTTCTTATTTTAAACTTTGTAGAGAACTTTTCTTTATGAAGTCACTGACTTCCTGAAATTCTGCCTTTTGATTTCTTCACAGTAGGTTCATTAGTGTCAGTGGAAGCTTCATGTCTTGTTTATGTAGGTCTTTAGACATGAGCATCTCCTACCAGTACTGCCGTTAGCAGCTCCTTCAGCACAGAAAATAAGGTTTGTGTTTCCTAATGGAAACCTCGTGGCATGATGCGAAATATTTCTGCTTTTAAATGCTAGCTTGTGTGTTTTAGCCAGCCCCTCAGTTGGGTGATAGCAGCATATGAATCCCAGCTCAGTTCTTGAGGCCATTGGTTGACTTGTTAACATCAGTGGGGCTTAAAAAATGATGGGTTTGGGTCTGGGAGTGATGCAGGCTGGAGTGTTGGTTTTGGCAGCTACGGGGCATTGGCAGTGACCAGCTCGGTGACTTGAGATGCTACTCTTTGCACAAGTTAAGAATGTGGACCAGCATCCTCCCAGCTTACAGACATGAAAATGTGGAGCTTTTAACCAGTGGCGTTTGACTTTTAAACATAAATGAATGAATGTCTGAATGGGTTTAAATCGGTGAACTATTTGATACTCTATGAATGTTCTGAGGTATTTTCCCCACTTAATGGTGATGAGATAATATTTTGTATAAGCAAAACACCATCAGTCCCTCCCATTACTGGTTTTGTTTATTTGAAGTGAGGAAACTCTTGGTTTTGTTTTTAAGATTTCTATCAGTTTTTCCTTACTTTTAAAGGTGGCTAGGCTTCTCTAAGCAGCAGTGTTGCTGGGGGTCACAGGTACTGAAGGAAGCAAATTAACATACAGTATGTTAATTTGTTTTCCCTGTCCTTCAGTCACAGTGAGGAGAGTCTAAATATTTCAGTGACTGAGACTTTGGATTCCCACTCCTTGCCACACAACAACAACAACAACAAAAGCTATTTATAGCAATAACAGTTAGCAGCGATACAGCAGCCTCAGACAGCTATAGGCAGCATCTCACCATGACCAGAAATGTTAACTGCTTTTGCACTGAATGCCTCTGTGAAAACAAAAGAGCACTGAGAAATAAAGATCAAAGCAAAACCAAAAGAAAGATTTTTTTTATTGCTATGTTTTACTTTGCTGGCAGACCAGAGCAAAGGTTTTCTGAACATTTAAAAGATGAAAAAGGTGAAGAATCCCAGAAGCGATTTATCTTGAAGCGAGATAACTCTAGTATTGATAAAGAAGACAATCAGGTTGGTTCTCGGTTCGAGAGTTGCTGAAATTTGTTCTGTTTTTGAAGGTGGGCTGACGGATGTTATTGTTTTTCTTTTGTTGTTGCTCTCCTCCTCCTCCTCCCCTGCCCCCTCCCCGTCTCCTCTGGCATTGGAACCACCGTGGGCAGCACCGAGCCCTGGTGTGGCCGCTTCAGCCATGGCAGTGTGTGGGTTTGCATGGGTGGTTTGCTTGGCGCAGGACTTGCTGCATGCCCACGGGAGGGGGAATGCCGTGGCTCTGGGCTGCGTGGAAGGCTGTGTCAGTCGCGTTTCACAATGTCTCGCCTAGCTTCCTCCTTCCGTTTTACCCATTCAGACTTGGATTTCAGTATGGACCAATGATAAGCCGATGTAGCCCAAAAAAAGAGAGAGGAAAAAAATTTTTTTTTTTTTTTTTAAAGCCCCAAATGCACACATGATGGTGAGGCCAGGTTGATTTAAAAAAAAATTAATTCTAAACTAAGTTTTGACCAAAAAATGAATCAATTTCATCCTTTAGTTCCTTCCTTCCTCCTGTGCCCTCACCACCTTTTGCTGTCTGTGTAACTTACTTGCTTGTCGTGCATGTACTGTGGCAGACGTTCCCCCTCTGTGTTGCCTGTGCCATATAACACTACCTTACCTTAGGTGAGCCCAATGAGTAGGGGAGCACCAGGGAGATGTGTGTGTTTGTGCTGCCTTTAAAAGCAGGTGTTGTGCTGTTTCAATCCAGTGCAAGCTGTGTATGTGGAATATATTAACAAAAATATAATAATAAAGGGTTCTGATGTGAATTGCTTGTATGAGAAAAGTCTCACAGGTAAGAAGACAGCCTATGCTTTTTTTGCTTAGGTTATATTTGTGGAAGGACCTGCCAGTGAGTCTCTCATTACCATTCCTTCATGTTTGCAGTAAAAGACTGATCTTTCCTTTCTTTATTTTTCTTTTTTTCCCCTTTTTTCTTTGACTTTCAGTTGTACATAGTAGCCTTGCCAGCTATGCTGCACCTGAGTTGACTTTGAAAGCAAAACTCAAGCATTTTTAGGGTGTGATGAACATGGGGATCAGCCCAAGGAAAGCAGCATGTCCTATCTCACCACGTGCTGGGGTGCAGGGAGAGAAGGAGCAGTGCTTGAAACCCAGTTGCTGATGAAGCATTTGTTGCTTGGAGTTCCTCTTCTCCTCTCCTGCCTCCCACAACACAGCCATTTCTCACTCTGATTTACCAAGAGGCACAAGTGGCCATTCTTTTTCCAGCAAAACTGAAGTCAGGGGTTCCTTTATGGTGTGGAAATGGTTAAAAATGTCATGCCAAATGTTTGGGACTTCTCCTCTTCTTCCACATAGACTTTGGGTTTCTTATAGGGTTTGCAATTTAGCTATTACTGCCTAAGTTCCCTCTTTTCTTCCTTGAATTCGTAGGTAGCACAGTGCTGTCTGCCCTCCTGCTCCTCGCAGCTGGTAGGAGAGTTGAGAAGTCTTAGGAGTCGAGAGCATTGACACTTAGGCTTGGGGTGAGAACACCCAATTTTTAGGATGGTGGGTCCACAGAAGCCATGCAGGAAGCCTTGTTTCTGCCACTTGCTCAACAAACCCATGTGCAGTGTCTAACTGGAAACCCTCAGGTGCCCAGCCTTGCAGGGCACCTCGTGCAGGAACGACAGCTATCGTTTTCATGCTTCCTTTGTTTAAGTGAACGTTTATTCTCAGCTGATAGTTACTTAATGGCAGTTTTTAACAGCTCAACTTATATAACCCTCCTGGTTTTCTTTCTGCTCAGCAAAACAGAATTCTTCCATTTAGAGATGACAGACGAAGTAAATCAATTGAAGAGAGAGAAGAGGAGTATCAGAGAGTGAGGGAGAGAATATTTGCACAAGATGTGAGTAGTTGTTTTAATTGCCTCTTTAGTGCCATACCTTTGCCGGTAGTCAGACAGCCTTGCCCCCCTCTGACACCAGAACTGCAGCAGGACTTGCCCTGTGGAGCTGGAGGAGACAGGGAAGGGCAATTGGCGCAGAGGGTCCGAGAGGAGCTTGAGAGTTGCGGAGGTTGGCTTTTGGAGGAGAAGGTGATGAGAGTTGCAGTGAGACGGGTAGAGGAGAGATCAGGCCCAGCATGTTGTCTGGGGAGTGCTTATCCTGTTTCTTTTAATGTTCTTGTTTTTGTGGCCTAGGCTTCCTTCTTTTTTCCTTCTCTCTTTGCCAACCAAAGAGCAGTGATTTAAATGGACACTCTCAATAATTTCAAATAGCTGTGTTTTTTCATATTTGTTTTGAGATTGTTCAAATGTTGTAAGTGTCCTTCTGCAGAGCCTCCTCATGGTTTTGTTTATTTGGACCAGTGCTGTAGCACTAAGAACAAAGCAAAGCCAAAGGTTAAATAAACGTGGAGTTGCACAGGTTTTTTGGAATGACCAGTTAAGGAACTGTGTTTCTACCATCAGAAGGAGTCAGTCACATTGTTGATGATTTTTATTCTGAAAGGAATAAAATGAAATGGGCATTATAATTCCTGCCTTACAAAAAAATTAGAACTTGCACAACAAGCTACGTTGCTAGAGGAAAACATTTAAATATGAAACATCTGTGAGGAATACCTCATGTTGCTGAAAAAGGAAGAAAATAATAATTTGTTATAATACTGTAATGACAGGATCCTAAAAGAGAAAAAAAAAAGTAAAAAGTAAACATTTTATTGTTTTATCTCACATCTCAGTGGGAGCTCTGCCACTTAGAGGAATATGGGAATAAACCTGATTAAAATTATTACTGAAAATCATATTTGGCAGTGTCCTTTTAAATTAAAACTGTTCATGTGTTGCAGGGCTAATAGTATTAATTTTAGACATTCTTTTATTTTGCTCTGGTTTTGGAGTTGCACACATCCAAGTTATTTTTCTTTAGCAGAATACATTGTATAGTTTTAAGGTGTGTGTTGTCTCATTTATGGTAAGTAATTTTGCTTGTTTATAAGTAGCTTGCCGCATCTAAATGTTTATAGTCTGGCTTTTTCTTTCTTGACTGAGGAAATTCCAGTAAAAGCAAAAGCCCTTCAGTTTACGTTTTGCTTTCAGCATATGGGTGTGCTGTAAATACTGTCACAGCACACACAGTAGAGTTACAGAGTTGTTCAAGGGCTGCAAAAGCTTCTTTGCAACTTGTCTCCTGTATGCAAGTTGCTGTTTCTGGCTTATTACAGAGGTGGTACAGAACAAAAAAAAATAATCTTTGGGTTTTGAAGGAGACTTCAAATGAGGCAAAATGTTGTTTAAAAATACATGGAAAGTTGTTGCCAAAATAGCACAGTTTCTGTCACAAGCAGCAGCTAGAAGTGCCAGGCTGGGAAATGGAGGTGGCTGGAAATGTGTGCTGACACTCGCTCCACAATGCGCTGCTGATTCTACCTCTAGATACCTGTGTTTTAAAGACAGGCGAGCGCTGAACATTTTATTGCTCGCAGCAGGAGGTTGTTGTGGTCCACTGGGTTAGCATCTCTAAGCAGTGACGCCTAAGTAACTGTGGTTTGTGGCAGGCATCTTAAATGGATTGGGAGTGAGCATTTTATAAAAGATCAGCAATGTTAGGTATCTCTCCCTCTCTCTCTTATATTCACTCATTTGCTCTCTCTCCCTGCTATTGCAGATGTTAGTGAGCATCATAGTGCAGTGAATTTCAGCAAGCTGTACTAATAATATTAACCAGAATAGATGTCTTAGCTGAGCTTTTTTGAGCAGAGCAGTCCTCACAGGTATGAGGTGTTTTTAGGATTATGTCAGTGGTTGTGGTGGTGGATAATGTCATCTTTTTCAATTTTAGGAAAGAGAGCAATGGCTTTCTATTATAGATAGCCACTTACTGCATGTGAGACTTTATAGTTTTAAAGCCCTCTGCAATCATTCATTAACCCAGTTCTCCCCAGGTTTCTCTGAGGTAGGTACCCAGGCCTTGTCATCCTGCAAATTATAGATGTAGAAAGAGACATGGAGGGATTAATCATGTGGTGGTTTTATTATCTCTATACTGTTTACACTGCTGTAGTCAAGCCTTTATCAGTGACTTGCTTATGAACCTTAGCAAACTGATTATGGATACTTCACTTCTAATTAGATAATGCATGATGAGAGCTTGCATGAGAGGTCTCCAAAGGGCAGCCATGAAGGTCAAGAGTACTGCCGTAACTTGTTGCACCTAACATCCCTCTCCAAACATGTTTGAGGTACCCAATACTCTTTGTATAACCTATCAACCCAAAAGTCAGAACTTCAAACAGAATTTAGGATGAAAAAGCAATCTGGTTAAAGGGGCAAAAAATTCTGTGCATGTTTCAAATGGTGTGAAAAATGTCTTAACCTGGACCCCACATACCAACCAACAGAAAGTCTGCTTGCCCTTCCTTTGGTGTTTTGCAGCACTGCAGCGTGCCAGATATCTTCAGTTCGAAGTGGGAAGGTTTTATCAAAATAAATATGTTCATGAATAATGCTATCATTATGATAGTCCTTATGATGATTAGTCTTATATTAGTCAGTTTAAATTATACTTTCTGGCAAGTTTTCTATCTGCTGGGTTGGCTATCATAAATTTTGACAAGGGTATCTGGAGGATTTAATGACTCTGGTCATGTGTAGAGTCATACCAAGAGGCAGGGATTGAAGTGCATGTTAATGTGCCATCTTAATAAAAGGCTTGGTGAAGAAATAAATAGTTAATAATTGTAATCATTCCAGCTCACTGAAGTACAAACTACAAAGTGCACCTTGAACTTTTCAGGCTGCTAGCAGTAAAACAGCATTGCATGAGCTCTTTTATGCTCAAAGCTGTTTTCAAGGTTATTTTTAATTGCAAAGCCTACAGCCTTCCTTTTTAAAACATGTTTTTATTGGAAACTTAGCTTTACAACAGTTTCTGAATTTTTTACAACCAAGTGGACTGGAGCAGAGGACCTGGAGTATCTGGGTCTTGCAAAGAAGTTTCTTGTCTGAACTGCTTTGTTGCTCTAAGCAGGTTGAAAAGTAATTGTCCAAGAAAGACAGACAAACAACAATCTAAAAGAATTAAAAAAAAAAAGAGTTTTTCCTTCCCTGTGTGTTCATTCAAATTGTGTATTTAACTGATAATTCCAAATGTGTGTTTAAATGGTACACTACATTTGGCTTTTAAGCATGCAGAAAATTGATTCTAAAGACTAGCAATCAAATTACATAGGGGAAATTTCATTCTTCGAGGTTAATGCAATGTATAACCTCATGAGCCAGAATAACGTAAGGACCATCCATTGTTCATAAATCTATTCTCCAGTAATCATTGTGTATTTACTGAAAAATGTAGATGTTTTACTACTTACGCAAGTGCTAGGATTGCTCATGGTACACATGGAACTTATTAAAGGAAATACATATGCTTTCTATTTTTGTTAATTGTAATGGCTATTTTTGACTAAGGAGTGTATTCTGAAAAGCCAGATACTTTAGATTAAAATAAATCATGGTTTCTCTGCTTAAAGAAACACTGAGTATTTTTATCACTCTACGATTAAAGAGAGTCACAAGGAATATTTGAAAAGGTGGCTTCAGCCAGTCCTATCCTTCTAGTAAGAAAAGATTAGGAAGAAGAGGGTTTAAAATTAATAAAAACAAAACTAAGACACGCCTCGTTGGCTACCATAAACCCATAGGTACTAAAACGTGTACTGCTGTACAGAGCCTTTGTTTGTGGCTGCAGATCAAGCAATCAGCATTAGTAGGATGCCTGAGATCTATCACATCTTGTTAACCGACGTGAAAATGATTACCTGATGGTATCCACTGCAGGATATTGCTGCATGTTAATAGTTATCTATGTTGGCTAATGTAATTAAAAACAAGAGCAGCAACCCCCAGCGTACCTAGTACACTGACAGAGCTGATGCATGTTTTGAGACTTTAAAGGATTCTGGGAAACTGGAAGAGTGAAATACTCATTTATAAATGACAATTAGTCATACAGAGAACACACGTGAAAATCTTGCATGTGGAAGTCTCTGAGGAGGCGAATTTGTAGGTAATCTTGCATAACTTTTTTCCTTTTGTAGATTTGTTGTCAGTGTCTTTGAGTATACAAGAGCCAAGTGTTTTAAGAATGCTTTTGACAACAGCTGTGCTGTGTACTTAAGCTTTCCTGGTGCTTTAAATTGAGCATTATTGATGCTATAGATCAGGAAAGTGAGTCTTGACCTTGTAGTAGCTAAATTGCTATCCAGAGCTGCTTAGCCATGTGAATTTTAATAGTAAGAATAACATAATAAAAAAGTGCCTGTCCTCTCTGCCTCTCAGCCTCACACCTATACAGAAAAATGGCTTCCAGGGATTGCATGGCCCCGTGCCAGCATCATCGGCCAGGAAGACAAATGGAGTTATTACAGACTCTCTCTTTAAGTCTGTAATGCAGCTGATAGTGGTTCCATCAAGACTCTGAAAAGGGAGCACGCTTCTCCACTTGCTTGATAAAATATAAATCCCAGATATTTATTACAGTTTATGCCCCAGTCTCTTTAAAAACTTGGTAAAATAGAGTAAAATAAAATGAAAAAATAATCTAGACATCTAGCATGTTGCTTTGTTTCTGTAGCTTTGTGAGGACTCAGACCAGTACTGTGGTCTAAGCAAAGGTTTTTACTTGTTTATTCTGGAAGAGTAGCTAAAACGCTGCTTTGGAAATGTGACTACAATGAAGTCCATGCACAAATGCCTATCATGAACCTCAAAATGAAGACACAGCCCCACAGTTCAGGTTGTACAAGCCCATGAGGTAATCTCACTACGCTCAGAGGTAGTTAGACTATGCTGAAGTCTGCACAGACACGTTAATTAATAAAACCTTGTGCATAAGGTACATCAGATGGGAGAAGATGTAGTGTCAGTTGCTCACAGGATCCCCGTGGCTTTAGGTGGAGCAGTTTGTGTCTTCCCTCTGCCTGGGGTGAAACCCAGGTCTGCTCTGTTTGGTGGGAGTTTGGTTCCCAGCATTGGAGATCTTGCTTTTGTTGTTCTGGAGCTTTGTGCTAAGGAGATATGTGCTTGCCACCGATGCAGCCCAGAGGCCTGTGTGTTTAGTTGGAGATCAGGGTGGGAGCTCATCTGGGTAGCCCATGGAGCTGTCAGATGTTTGGATGCTGAGTGGGCAAATTACAGCTTTAATGAGAAACCACACTGCCTTCTTAGGGCTAAATTTTTTCCTTGTGTAAATTGATGGGATGGCGCTGGCTGTGGTGCCAGGGGACAACTTTGCCTATGCATCTGCTGCAGCACTGGGAATGAGCAGAGTGTTGCTTCTGGTGTTGGCCAGTGCTCTTTGAGTCGGTCATTAGCTCACCCTTATCAAAACAGAAATGGTCCAAATGCATGCATATCCCATACCAATAAAATCTGACACAGTTAATGATGGCATTGCATTATTCTTCAAGCTGAGTCGGATTGTTACAGAAGTAATGGGCATATCTCTGGTGCCCTCCTCCCTTTGCCTGCCTTTTGTTTAAATTTCATGCGAGGACTGACTGTCCTTTCTTCTGTACCTCATGGAGATATAATCCAGCGACAGCTATGAAGCACTTTGTGTAGTGAACATGAAATAGGAGGGAAATGAAAAAATCAAAGAGGGAGAATTATTCATGGGAAATTGAGCACAGCTTCATTTCTCTGCATAAAAAATTAAGTAACACTAAAAGAATTATACACTTGCCGATAGGATTTATTTCTTCCGAGCCTTTCACCTTTCTTGTGATCTAAGTCCTCCAGCAGAGAACCTTTTTGCAATAGACTATTATTGTTGTTAATGTTAGTATTAAGATGATTATCATCATTTTACATCTCAATGTGGGTATGGCTATTTGCTCTCCAACCATAAAATGTGAAATCACATAGTATTTCTAAGTACTGCAGTATCTTCTCTCCCTTTGAAGAACTTTGTCAATTTTGCATGCTTTCCTCCTGTTTGTCCTTCCTACCCGCAGCTCTGTGCTATTCTGCAGTTTTCTTTTGAGGTGGTAGGGCAGACCAGTGGAACCTTAAATTATGTAGCAAAAATGTTTTTTCCCCTTCGAATTGCCAGTATTTTACACATACTGCCTTCTTCTGATCTCAGGACTGAGAAGTTTCAGTTTGTTTCCAAACTGAGACCCCTCATTGGCAATGTGTTGTAATGCATGGAATTTATTTTACTGGCCTGACCTTATTCTTGACCTTTTTACCCTCTTGTCTTCTGCAAATGCAAATGATGCATGAATTGAAATCCCCTTAAGCCTGAACAGGGGAGATAATTCTAAATTGAAGGAAGGAATTGCAACAGCAGAGCGTATCTAGAACGTCTGATACAATGCCTTTTTTATTTTTCAGTCAGTTTGCTCCCAGGAAAACCTTTTTGTGGAAAACAGGTAAAAAATAGCTTTTTTTTGTGTTAAACTTAGCTGTTTCTCTCTCTTATTATTTTGTCTATCTATAGTTGCTTATCCTAATGTGAAGGCTGTTGAGCAGATTTGTAATCAATATTATCTGCAGTGTTTTTCTGCTTTAAGAGGGGGGTGAAAGGATTGCCTTGCAGTATTGTATCTGAGCAGATAAGATTTTACAGCTGCTTTTGCAAGACTTTGCATTTCAGTGTAAAAAAGCAGAGTGGGGTGCGGGGGGCAACCTACCTAATGTTTTATTTCACAACCTCAACCAGTCTCTGGAGTGCCTTTGGAATTTAACTTACTGATGTTTAAGGAGCACTCCAGCAGTGGCTCGAAGATGGTATTTATGAAACACCACGCTTGTGTTTGTGCTGTTTAACCTGCTTTCCAGTGGGGCTGAGCGGCATCACTGGCTTCACTTGTCACTTGTGAAGGCTCACAGGTACCCCAGACCAGAGCTGCTTTACTGCTGCAGCGTAGTAACAAAATGGTGATGCCTGAGCCAGCTGTTACTTTGCATTACTGTGTGTTAGTTCTTATGGACGTTTATCGTAACAAATCCGTTGAAAGCAAAGGGAAGAAGAAACTGCTTAATGAAGATCTACAAAATACAAAGCGTTAGCTCCGTAGCAGCCATAAATTAGCATGGCTGCATTGAAGATCTTGGAAATTGTGCACCTTTATAGCAGATAAGGATTTTAACCAAAATGCTAAGAATTCCACTGGTGTTTGAGCAGTGCTAGCCCAGGTCTGTCCTGTGCAGATTTTAAAAGTGTTTATCATCCCCTTGAAGAAGGGGAGGTTATCTTTTATGGTATTTCTATCTCTGTCAGTCTTCACATCTGTCAGATACATTTATGAGTAAGGCTGTTCCCATACAAAATGACTCCACAGTAATGGTACCAACCAGCTTTTCTGATGGATAGTCCTGAAAGTGGAATGAGGGAAGTCCCTCAGGAGGTAATGGCCCCTGTCACGTAACCACCTCGTATTCTGAGAGCCAAGGATATTTCCTCAGCTGTTGCTTCTGTACATCATGACTGTGGAGATACACTTTATCAAAATAAATTAAAAATGCAACAGAGGAACCCAAAAAGCAAAAAGAAGATGCTTCCATAAACCTACTTTTTCCTTTCTTGAGAGAATGGGATGATAAACGTGATGTAGTTGTTCACGTTTCCAAGTCAGTATGGAAAGAGCTCAGGCACTGTGCTGCTGAGGGTAGGATGGGGACCCTTATGGGATTGACTTCATAGCCAGGCCTCCTCTGGTTTATGCATTCAGTCCCACCCCTGCACGCAGAAGAATATTAGCACTTGGTTCACTCTGCTCAGACCCGTGAGCTGGCTGACCAGCTTTCCCGGTGTGAGGATGCATACCCAAGTGGAGTAAAAGACCGGTTTGGAAACTGGGCTTCTGTTACTGCCTGCACTTTTTCAGGAGGGAGACTTCATCTGGGTTCTTCAGAACACTGCTTTTTCTTGCTGCATGCCTTACAGCCTTTGAGCAGGTGAAGCACTTACACTCACACTTAGCTCCATGCACATGAGCAACCTTGTTGATTTGCTGTGTCGAAAGTTAGGTATGTGTTTAAGTGCTTTGCCTTTCTTTTTCATCAGAGAGAACCTGAGCATTTCTCTCCCCTGCAGAGATTTCCAAGTGACTTAGCAAGTGCTTAGAATTATGTATGCAGTATATTGCTGGCTTGCATTTTTTATGTTTTTATTATGCGATATTTTTATGAATTTTCTTTTGGATGTAGATATATGGTTCCTTGGCTTCTGAGAATTACCTTGCTCATTAACAGGAAATGTTAAATGGCCTTCAGCTTTCCTGGCTGACATTTCTTATGTTCAGTTGACTGTGCAGTTATGGGAGAGGGAAACGGGGCAATTTTAGCCTTGTCTTTTTAAACTATGAATATAGTGCAAGTTGGAAGATGTTTCTAGAAATGAAATGTAGCTTTACAGATAAATTTGAATTGCCATGTTTGTTACCATAATCTTTCTTTTCATTTTTCAGTAGGCTGTTGGAAGACAGTAGTATATGCAATGATACCCATAAGAAAAGACAGCTGTTTAGGTTTGTATGACTTTATTTAATATTCATTTCCCAGTAACTCTGACTCATGATTCTATCCATGTCCTCTATCCCATGTCCTCAAGGGAGACCTTGACCAGTGTGGGTATGTCACTTTTATGGTTGGAAAGGAGCATGGAGAACAGAGTTCTTACCCGCTGATCCCATGGTGTCTGAATGGAGAGGTCACAACGGGACCTTGTCCTTTGGTTTTTCGGATCATTGGCTTGGGAACCATACCAGATTTTCAGCTGCCCAGCTGTTCGGACTGCCACAGTTTTGGGGTAACTGTGACTGGTGGAAGTTCATTATGCTCTAGTATATACGACAGGCACGTTTCACAGATTAGTGCCCAGACTGCCCTGGTTTATTGAAAGCTGAAGTAAAAGTACAGTGAAGTGAAACAGATTGAAGTTCCCTTATCTAAAGCAGTGATGTTTTGAAACATTTTCTCTGACCTTTGTCTTCCAAACTCCAATTCCTTCTTCCCAGACAACATTCAGCTGCATCCTGTATCCCAAAGCAGAGCAGGCAGAAGTAATGGATGCCTTCAAAAGCATGTCCTTCATTCAGTAAAACATGTTGATAGCTAGGCAGAAGTAAGGCGATTGCTACATGTGTCTGTATGCATTGAGGTCTGCACATGTAGCAGTGATAATTTGTCACTTTAGACCTATATAATCTATACTATGTAGGTTTTCACTGTGAGGAGAAAAGATGTGGGATTATTTGACACATGGTTGCTGACTGTGCATGTCTGCACAGCAGCCACGGAGGAGACTGCAAGACTGCACCAGGAAAGGAGCAATGCTGGAGCATCTGGAGCTGAGTCCTGTGGCCACAGGCAGCAGGCGGGAGAGATTTCCTTCATGCTTTGGGCTAGCCTTGGTCTGAGAGTCATTGGGCATGCAGGAATAAGGAGACATCTAAAATATGCATGTGGAGACACTTCATTAATATCTGTTCAGGTTTGGGGAACTAAAAGGAATTTAGTGTAACCCGAAACCATAGATAACTGAGATAAAAAAGCATTCTGTTTCTCTCTCTTTTCCATTAGAGTATAAATATAGGAGAATTGCTAATTTCTAAGCACAGGAATGCAAAAGAGTTTGTTAATAATATACTTTTGTTTTTCTCTTTCCAATTAAATCTTAAGGACAATTTATTTTAATATCTTTTTCCTTTTTTTATGTTGTTGCTTCTGTGCTGTTTCTCTCCATGCTTTCCCAGTGTCGGGGTCTAGCAAAGATCAACAGGTTAATACTGCTGATCACAGGCAAGGAACGCACCAGCCTGATCCCCCGTCCTTGGCACGCTGCTGCTTCACGTCCTGAGTGACACAGCTCGGCAGGTTCTCCAAATAAAAAGCAGGAGCCACGTTCACAAGGAGAAAGGGGACAAAAAAAAAATACAGTCCCATCCTTTTGTTTTGTAGAAAGAGCTTTGAGCCTGCAAGGTATTATACTGTAAAATAAGACAGAGCAGTGGCTAATGTCTTCTAAAAGCCTTCCAAAAGTCAGTGTTATTGGCATCACTTAGGATAACGGTCGTGGTGCACCAAGATGTGGTAGGCATGCTGGTTTTGTCATTTTAGCAGCACATTGTAAGCTGTTCACCGTAAGTAAGCCAAATTCTCCTCTGGTTTCTGCTCACAGTTAACTGTGTTGTCACTCAAAATACATGGGGTGCTGTACAGATGTTCAAGGACAGATAGTCTCTACCCAGAGATGTTTGCAATTAATGTATGCACAGGGGGAAAAAAACCTAACTGGTGGGTTTCTCAAGTGAAGTGTTAGCATTGAAGAGCTTGGAGTCATGCTGGGAGGACACACATTTAGGGGAAGGCTTTGGGTGATTTTGCAGAGCAGATGATGAGTGGGGACAACGTGCAATAGAAATAAAGAGGATGGATATGAAGACAAAAGTAGAAGGTGAAGTTAGTGAGAAAAAGGTGATGGACAGCAGAGGGAGAGGTAGCAAGGGATTTGCTGAGGGAAGAGACCACTCAACAGGCAACAGAAATACTACGTCCTTGCTACATAATACTGCTGCATCAGTCCTGTCTGATGAAGTGCTCTTAGGATATATGCAAAAGGGCAGCAGTGGTAAGTGCTGTGCATGTAAAAGGGTGTAGCAATGTTTCCTTGCTGAAGGCAGATGAGTATTGGGGTCAAATCCCTTCTTTCAGGCATGCTTTCATAAACACAGAGTATTTCCTTTTTCCATTATTAGGCTTGTTGCAGGGTAACCAGAGATAGACTCTGCCCGGACGTGTTTTCGTTTGTGTATACATCTTTGTTTCCTGATGTCCTTAGGGGTAACAGAGACAGCACGGGGAAGGCATCTGGCAGTCGGCAGAGCAGTACGGAGAATGAACTGAAGTGGACTGACCACCAGAGACCATGGAGCAGCACTGACTCAGACAGCTCAAATCGAAATTTGAAGCCAGCCATAACAAAGACAGCCAGTTTTGGTGGGATAACTGTCCTGACAAGAGGAGATAGCTCATCAAGTAACAGAAGTACCGGCAAACTGTCTAAAACAGGTAGCTAGTACTGTATTGGGTTCACAGTACTACTTGTTGTATGGTGATAATGGGCTATACTGGTACTTGTCTGAGTGTGGTGTATCACAGAATGGTTTGAGTTGGAGGAGACCTTCAGAGATCATCTAGTCCAACCCCTGTGGTTGTACTATATGGTGAATTACAGGAATAGTTGTATTTCCTGTGCACAGCAGGTGTGTATGTCCATCTCTGTATGTATCTGGGTACCTGGTACTGAGTTTTTAGGAATCAAGAAGAAAATCTGGTGCCTGAGGTTTTCAAATGGTAGGTGAGCTAGAATGTTTCTAGAATAAAGTATGTGCACATCCTATTTGAGCACTCTTTGCAATTATTGCAGCCTGAAAAGATGGTAGTCCTTTCAAAGGATGGATTTTACACTCTTTTTGAATTGTGAAGAATTGAATGTTATATATCTGATGAGCAATCCAAGAACACTTTGTTATTGTTAAAATGCAGGCCATCTGTGTCTTGGAGCACAGCCTCTCCCCCGCGGCTGGCAGGTGAGGCAGTGTGCTGTGGTGGAAGCAGCTAGAAGTGCTGAATTCACTGAGGTCCTGCACTCTCTCCATTTTCTTGTTTAGATTCCATTAAATGAAATCACCATTTAAGGGAACTACGAACCTGGTGGGAATTCTGCATCTATTTGCATTAACTTCACGGGTACACTAACATATGAGTGAGTCACAGGGTCTGGATCTAAGTCATTTCAAGCCATGCCAGTAAGCTACTCTACTGTATTTTTGTGTAAAAGTGCATAATAAATAATGAGCCCATCAGATGATTCCATCGGTTTGGTTCATTTGTTAAATATAGTACAGACCAAGTGGTAATCAATACTTAGCACTTAGTGCACTTTCAGCTTGAGAGTGTTTTATGGATGGTACTTAATTTAAACCCAGCTTATCAAACCTGGGTTGATAAGATTTCACTTCTGTTCCCAAAATTGTACAGTAGCCTTTGCCATGATTCAAGATTCTAGGGAATGGAGTTTTCAGAATAAATTGAGAAAATGTTTGACTTGGTAACTACATCTAACTGGACCTCCAGATCTTGAACATAATTCAAAATCTTGTTGTATTTCACAGGTGTAAAGGAGCCTGGTTGGTCATAAAGCTGCTGGGAGCTTTTGGAGTATCTTGCCACTTCTTAATGCTTCTATTTTATGTTTTTGACCCTCTAAACAGATATTTGGTTTATTATATTAATATTCATAGAATAGCTCAAGTTGGAAGGAACCTATAAAGATCTCTTCCTGAGATAAGATTCGCCTTTGGTTTTACTCCATTCTTACATGTGTGAAATCCCATGGCATTAAGACATGTGTCTGGCTTTGAAAATTAGTATAGTTGTTTACTTCTGGCTTGTTCTGAGCATAAGCATGTGTGCAACATAGCAAAACCAGCCCGTGTGTATTTTGGAGCTATACTCTCTTGTATTTTTTATTAGTATAAAGGCTGGATAGGCTGTACACTGGGTCCTGAACTAGGCAGTAGACCGTTTTTTTTACCTCCAGATTTCTTAGCTTCCCTTGAATCTTTCCATTACATCAGAATTCAATTTGATATGCACAAATGTGGGAGGAGGCACAGATTCCTGCGGTACTTTTTTCGTACCATTCACCTTCAGTAGAACACGGGTAAATGTATTTATCTGCAGCATTGTATTACAGAGGTGCAAAGCATTTAAAATGGTGTCAGGGAAATCCAGTTTGGAGGGCTGAGATTTCTAATTGCAAAAGAATAATACTTTTAAGTAGCCGTTTTAGTGTTAAAATCAAGCATATTATAGGGTGCACTTTAAAGATGTATTAAAGATCTCTGAGGCATGCCAATACTTGTAAATGTATCTGCACGCTGTATGCACCAACCCCAAAATTGCTTTCAAACGAACTCTCTTACATTACATTTTTAAAACATCAGTGATACTAAAAGTCCATGTTCTTTGCAGAACAATTACATATTGTAAGTGCTTTGACTTTTTTAAGCAGAGTCTTTACATTTGAAAGCTAGTTGAGGCACAGAAAGAGTAAAAGGAAAAATGAAAAGGAAGAGGTGGGGAAAAAGAGCAAGGCTGGATGTCAAAACAAACTTACACCTTCAAAGCCAGGATGCAAAGTCAAAGTGTCAGTCAGCTTGAGGAAAGTCAGAGGAAATAATATCTGAATTGCTATTTCTATCCTTCTTTCTGAAATGTTATTGAATGGCATTAAAGCAGAAAAGAATGACTTCAAATAAGCATTGATGAAGTGTTCTCACTTCACTACAAAATGCTGAGTGCATTCACGGAGCTGTCAGAGCCCCCGCGCGCTATTTGCATGTTCTCTCTAAGGGACAAGCGACACTTCATTGTGCACGCTTTTGCATTAGATCTTCATCATTCTGTGCGCCTGTCATAGGCGGTGCTGGGCTGGGCGTAGGACCAGTGGCTGCTCAGTACACATTTAAAGCTTGACCACGCCTTTATTTTGGGAGATTTTGTGTATTTTATCTTTACAACAGGGATTGAAGTGAGATTGCAGAGGTATAGCTACAAACGTTAGGCACGCTGCTCTGGTGGACACCAATTCTGTCGTGGTTCTCCTCTGCAGAAAGTACTAATGTGTTCTCCAAATTACTTCACGATTAACAGTAATAAACTTAAAATATTTTTGTCCTACATGTAGAATATATGAAATCAGTCTGAAGTCAACAGTAGATCAAAATGTTCTTCATTGTCTGAGTGATGGAAAATCTTTGTGACCATTTTAAATGTGAAAATTATTCTACATATATGACATTCACCCAGGAGCATTGTCATATGTGTTTCTTGAGCATGGAAATGCTAAGACTTCAAGGATTTTCGCTGATGGTGCACAGCTGCATCTGAGAGTATATGTAGTGATGCAATATTAGCCCTGAAGTCTTTCTGGATCTAGTCTTTCTAGTATTATCATGAAAATTAAATGTTCTGCCCTTAGCCTTAACTTCTGATAAATCAGTAATTAACATTACCTAGCAGACAAACAGAAACTGAAGCATGGAAAGATGCTGGCCTCTTCTTACGCAAAGATAAATCCTAGAATGTGCTGTTCTCTGCAGAAGTGTCTGGTAGTGTCAATTAGTCTTAGGCTTTAATTGCATTCAGCTGCACAGGAATTAGAGCTTAGCAAAGGTATTATGCTACTTCGTTCTTGTAAACTTCACAAAAGGGGTTGTTTGAAACCCATTACATGGTTATTTTACTGGTTCTGATGGTTATTTTCATGCACCTGTTGATTGTTTAGAAAGCCCTTTTCCACTAAAAAGCACAGATTGTGTATTGCAAATAACATTTTCTCCTCTGTTACTCTTAAACTTAGTAGATACATAGAGATTTATTATGTTATAATTCAGTATTGAGTGAGGAGTTAATAATTGAACAAATTGCAGTCAGATTGCATTCCTACAGCTTAGGAAATCATACAAAACCTTGATTAGTTTATATTTCCAGTAATGTTGTGGACTTCCCAGATCTGACTAAGCATGTAGAGTGGTAAGTGCAATAGATGTCCCTGTAGGCATCAAAAGATGTACCTGTTCAGTGTCTAATACACCCATGAAGAGAAAATCTAGGTTATCAACTACCATGTTATTTTCACTGACATGTTACAGCAGGTTTTAATATACATTATTAGGAGGGAAGACAAGACGTTGCAAAGAAATGTCCTCTGTGCATCTACATATCTATTTAAATAATTGCTGGAAGATTAGAGAGATGTAACTATTGCATCTTTAGCTTCCCTTAATGCATTTTCCTTTCAGTGGAATGCACATCTGTTGGAGTGTATTTCTTGCCGTCCCATTTACGAAAAGCTAGCTGCACTGGGGTATCAGCTGTGTTGATACAGATCTGTAGGGATCATTAACTTCCTTGGCGGGGCTCCAAGTAATCGGAGCCACAGTCTAATCTCTCCTCTTAGGTGTTCATTGCCACCCCTGTTGGGAAAAGATGATTATACTGCAGGCATTTCAATACATTAAACTTTTTTAATTTTAATATAAAGTATCCTGTAAATTATAATTTTGTCCCTGAGTTTTGGAAGTAGATTTATGCTTCTTTCATTTAATTGGACACTGGCCTGATGGATCTTGTGAATCCAAGAGAAGCTGTAGGAATGTTGATGTATGGGCAATAAATCATGCGCCAACTGCTCCCAGTCATACTCTTCCCGCCAACTGACTGTGCTGAAACATCAATCTTATTTTTAGAAGGGCAACTTGCAGAGAAATAATCGTGTTCATGTGAGCATGTACCATTCTTATTTTAAAAAAAAAAAAAACAACAAAACAACTAAACTAAATACGTTGTAATGTACAGAAATGCAAGTGACTTATGAAGTAGCAAATAAATATTCCCAAGCCAAGAAACTTTATCCAAGACAAAAATACTTCCAGAAGTGATCAGCACTGTACTGCACCTAAAAATTTGACTGTCTGGAATAGTGGGTAGATCTTGAGAGTCCAGTTGATAAGAAAGAAAAAATTACCTTGGACTTTTAAGGTAGGATAAACAGAGATTTCCAAAGTCATCAGATACTTAATGCTGAGCCAAAGAAAATAGAGCAAGACGTGTTGCATTGCTCACTGGCACTCAGGATATCAGAAAATTAATGGGACCTCCACGCTCTCCTTACGCAAAACCCCTAAGCTATTAAGACTTTGTGGTGATTTTTCTGTCTCTTTCTTTTATCACTCTTTGAACTGCTGTATCTCTCGGAATACTTAAAAAATATATTAATGGAAAGTGATGAGAATGTGAAGGTTATTATGTCAACTGTGAAGCAGCAAGAAAATTACAGAAGAATCTAGAAGAAGTAGCCGTCATAACATAGTGAAAAAAAAGAGGTTGGATTGTGTAATGGAGGCAAAAAATTCTAATTTAGTCAAAGTTCTTTTCCAAAGTCTTTAGCAATACATCTCTTAATGTGAATCTGAATAAAGTCAGATAGTTCATTTTTTTTTTTCATTTGCTACAGTACTGAATTCATAATGTGGTGATTTCTTATTCCAAATTTAGACACCGTGAAAACAGCTAGTCAGAGCTACAAAGACAAGATTAATTGTTGTTAATTTCCAAACATTAATGTTAGAATTTTCCTGGCTTAATACGTCTAGGCTTAAAAAGATAGGAAATAAGTTGTGGTGATGGAAAAAAAGTTAAAATAGATCATTCTTATGCAAGATAAATGGGGGGAAAATTGATTAAGTAGTAACTTCTGAGCTTTTTTTATATTCAGAAAAGTCACTGGAATGGTTTTGTGTCTTACTTGTGTTCTTTCAAAATCACCAACTCGATCTACTGACATAGGAAAACAGATCTCAGATCTTTTAGGGCAGACATTTCAAAGCTATCATCTTGGCCAATGTGTGATGATAGCTTCAGAAGTTGTTCCACTGCTTCTGCCTACTATTTCATGAGTACTTCTGAATTCATCGCAGTCCTTTGGCCTTTTTAAAAAATCACTCAGTGATTCTGCCATAAAACCAGCTGAAACAGGGAAAAGAAAAAAAAAACCAACAATTTAATGTCAGAGCTGCAGTCTTCTTTTACGCTAATGGTGTTTCTTCAGAATAGCACAAAATGGGAAGAGAGAGGTCTGAACTCAGGCTTGGTACTACTTACATGCTTAAAACTAATAATGGGAGGTTTGTGAAATCTAACTATCATTCCTGCATCTCCAGGTAGCTTTCTAACCCATTGAATTCAATAGGTGATGCAAAAGAGAAGAAAGTAAAGCAAGAACTCAAAGAAGCAGTGTGGATTGAATGTAGAAAGACCAGAGAAATGCAGGAAAGGGCCTGGTAACTGCTGCGGAAAGAAAATTAAAGTTGTGCAGTTGCATTTGCATTTGTTAGTAGGATGCCAGATGCTGCTTGATGAGTATGACCTCCAGGAGTATCTCTGTGATTTGTAGAAACACTGAAATCTGAAATAATCCAATAAATAAAACTATCCCTGCAGGAATAATATTTCTAAACTTCCAACCTCAGTCTACAAGGAGGGGAAAAATACAGCAACTTATACAACTTTGCAGTGTATTTATAGAAATTAAAAAATTCTTCCAAAATATCTCTTACTTTCTTGATTACATACTGGAGAAGCAGATTTAGGGTCCTGCTGATGGCAAGTAGTGCACAGTTCATAAAGAGGACTGTCTCTGTAGTATGGATAGGAAGTTTGAAGAAGGTGGATAAAACTGTGTTTTACACAGCAATCCACGGTAATCAGTGAGAAGACCCTCTATTTGTTAAGTAACAGTGTGCTGGTGTGATTTCTTCAGAGGAAACCTGTTTTGCTATAAGTATGAGGAAATTATTGAATTCCAATATGGATTTGACTGAAGATTAATCCAAGGCTCTAAGCAGTGTACTGCAGGGTCCTCCTGTAGTAGCCCAAATATGAAGGGGTGTAATTTGCCCTCTAAGAAAGAAGTTTGCTAAAACCCAAATGTGAGTTCTGTCTTTTCTTTTAGTTTTCACCTGCAGGAGGGCACTGAGGAGGTTAGTAATTAATGTGAGATGCATAGACAGTGCACAAAACATAAAATAAAAAGTTGAAATTAAAATATACTTTACTTTTGGAAGGAAGTATCCATACAGACATTTGCTTTCACACATAACTTGTATTTGCCTTGATGTCCTGCTTTAAGAAAGCCGCTGGTCTGAATCTTACACTCTCAGAGATTCTTGTCATTTTTACATGAAGCAAATTGAAATTCAATCAAGTAAAATCTCTGGAGTTTGGAAATCATATTTGGGTTTTAAAATAATGCATCTACCATCCCTGTTTTAGCACATTTGATTTATCTCGATAGATCAATTTAATAGTCTATGTGCTGAAAAATCAGTGGCAAAAGTCTTGAGTAGCATTTTAGGTAGCTTTAAGTTAATACATGTATGGCACAGCTACCTTGTTACTTGACTGACAGTTAAGTTGCTGGGTTGTTTTTTTCTTACAGACAAGGTTTGATATATGTGTGCGTGTGTGTGTTTTTCTTTTTCGTTTACAAACCCCATGTTTAGATTTTATACCTTGTGAACCAATACTTTGTCATTTTAAATATACACTGAGCATTTTGTGTTCTGTTTGATAAAGCTATTTACTGGCTGGGGGGAAACAGATTTCGCAGGAGGAAAGTAGTCTTTTGAACTGTAGAAATACCACTGGACGCTGAGCTCCCTTATAAACCCCCCCCCCACTGCGGTTGTGTCTTTGTTAGGTTCAGAGTCTTCCAGCAGCGCTGGCTCCTCAGGATCCCTGTCACGAATACATCAGCCTCTCCAAAGTGCATCTCTTGTCCCTGGGGTGACGGCTGGCTCTTCAGGCAATGTGTCCTACCCTGAGAATGGGATGAGTGGCCAGGTGGCCCCCAGCAACACCAGCTATATCCTTCTTCCACTTGAAGCTGCAGGGATACCACCTGGCAGTATCCTTCTCAACCCACACACAGGTCAGTACAATGCTCTCCTGCCTGGTGCTGCCCTTCAGTGTTTCTGATGTCATCTAGGGTATCAGCAAATTTTCTGTTTTTAGAGATATTTTCCTTGAGGCGCTTTATGAGGAAGCAAGCAGCAAATTTACGTAGAAATGACACTAGGTAGGTTTTTTGAATCTGCAGGCAAAGCCAGGTTGGCTTTCTGAGGCTGTTGTGGCATAGCCGATGGGAAGTGATGCAAAACACACTGAGGCAGTCCTAGACAGGACATTCATCTTGTAAAGTCCTGGCACTCCCTGTCTGTGAATCTTCTGAGATCCCATTAGCTTAAGTAAGGACAGATGCTCTTCCATATCAAGCATGCTGAGATATGGTGCAACTGAAATATGACATTCACAGTTTTAGAGATTGTGCTTAACAATAGAAGAATTTCAGGCTTAGAGGCTGCATTTGAGTCAGTACTTCAGAGTTAATTTCCTTATGTGATTAGCAATTGTATTTAAATCAGAAGTTTTGTGATAAGAGAAAGTCGTAATCTCTTCAATTCTGCGTTGTGGCCCTGGCAGCCAGCAGCACTGTGGTGCCTGAACAAGACTTTCACGGTCACCCAAGCACTGTGCATACTTCAGAACCCACTCAGCTTGAACTTGAGTGCTTACTGAAAGTTTAAGGTAATTTGTTACCTCCTTGGTCCAGATGAAATCCAGATTGTGTTATGCAATTACTCCCCACAGTATTGTACTGGCAGTATTGAAAAGGTTCACGGAGGTTGAGACTGTGATGCTTCTTCAGCAATTTGGACTGTTTCAGTGACCATGACTAGCTGTGCTGTCAACCTTAGCTGAGTTATACTGGATTTAAAATAACAAAGCCTACAGTTCAATGTATTTTCCATTGTACTGGGAGCTGAGAGTTGAACTCCAAAATATTTTTTCAAAGTCCTTAATAGAGCATTCAGGAACATTTTATTTGGGGATTTTGATTTTTAATGAGTATTTTATGTATATTGCACCTCTGTGTTTCCATATTTGGTTTACGTATTTGGTGCAAATATGTGAAGTTAATTTGCGAGTGCACTGCTAACAACATGTTTTTAGTATGAATGCAGTCAAGAGAAACTGAAAGTTGCAGTAATTAAGAAAAAAACAGCCTTGACAAACTGTTAAACCAAACTTCCCACGGACGTTCAGATATAATAGTATCTGGGGCTGATCAATATATGCCAGCATATATAAAATCAGGGGGAGTTCTTGTTTGTTTAGATTACAACATGGTAAGCTCTTTCCAGAGAGATGACTTAGCAACTTGCACAAATGTGTACTTTTCTAAGGCCTTTACTATTGATGTGTACTTTTTTTCAAGTTACTGCATTATTGACATGAGAGTCTAATACTGTCAGCATAAATGGGGATTTCAGTAATGTCTTAAAATGACTGGGGGGAGAGAACAGAATGGGAGGTGGGCATAAGACAAACCCTATCGTTATGAATTTACTAATTTCTGTTGTTCTGGTAGTTGGTCTGTAACACTGGAATTTCATGGTCAATACAGAAGGCGGCATTTTGTGTGCTCTGTGGTCCACTCCTGTACAAAACCCAGCAGTCCTAGGCAGAAGTCCATACAAAATTCAGGTGCAGACTGAGAGAAACAAGTGAAAGGAATTGCTGCTGCTTTGAGCCCACCAACAGCCAAGAGATTGTATTCATTCCTGGTGATGGCAGGGACAGAGGCTGCAGCTCACCACACTTGCAAGCCAGAAGAGCTGTTTAAGAGAAATATCCCCTACATCTGTTTTGTCAATTGAGCAATTTGCAGCAGCTATTTCATATTTTTCCCTGGTGCCTAGGGAGTCTTTGTCTGCCACAGGCATACTGCCTTTCAGTCCTGTCACCAGACCAGAGTACCTGGGCTTCCCTCCCAGTGCGCCTCATTGTCTACAGAGGCATAATCGCGAGCTCTGTGTGTGTTAGTATGTTTAATATTCAGGGAGTGAGTGTTTTTGTGTACATATAATTCTGCGTTTCTTTCAAGCTGCATGCTTTGTTTCTGTAGCTCCCTTGTAAGTGCATACATAATAAGGAAAATGAAGGGAGCAGATTCTTCTAAAGACTGAAATTTCTGTCTCAGATGTATAGCTTCATGCTGCTACCTGTGCTGGAAGTCAAGCTATACTGTAGTGACTGCTGTGTATTTAACATGCAGCAAAATACATGCTGCAAATCTGCCACTCTGGGCTCAGAATCTTTGCATCTTATTAAGGTAATGTTACAAAAGAAGCTCCATAGGGAAGGAACTCAGATTGCTGGATGCTGTGATCAGCTATCAAAGTGATGGATGCTGTCAGAAACATAGATGAAGAGAAGACAGTTTAAAGAAAAGGAAAGAGCAGCTTTGTTTCCTGTAATGAATACATTTTCTTTCCCTGTGCAACACCATTCTTTAGCTCTTTCTTCTCCTTTTGCAGACTGACTACTTCCAGTCTTTTTCTTTCTTTTGATCATAACACCATGTCCTTTAAAGATCTTTACTTCCTTTCACACTGCATAGTCACTGTCTGTGCAAGCCTCTAATGACACCCACAGATGCTGTCAGTATCTCCCTACTCCGATTATGCCTTTCAGCTCCTTCTCAGGTGTTGGCAGGCCTGACTTTCTTTTCCATATCTGCAGTTTGCTTTGTTTCTTCTCCTTCCCCAGATAGAGAAGCTTCTTGCTTGCTTTGGGAGGGGACCATGCTGTTTTACTCTCCGTTTTACAACTTCACCAATCTGTTTTACTCTTTAAAGGATTCCTCTTTACAAGTCCTGTGACTTAACCTGTTTGGCAATTTAAGAGCATTTATGTTTCATTCTTACTCCTTTAAATGACATTGCAAATTTTGCCCTTCTGTCAGGGTCACAGTTCGTAACTTACAAATGGCTTCCTTGTTACCATCCAATCTCTCCTTTTAATTTCCTATTTCAAGATTTCTTCATGAAAAGTCTTTCTTTTCCATCTTTAAAAGCATTGTTGGACCTTTTCGTCCTTTAATTCTGTCATCTTTCGTTGAACCCTGAGAAATGGTTTTTACAGCTTCCCTCAAGTGTCTGGTGCAGGCTTTGGGAGCCTGTTATCCCACTCACCCAGTCTGATTTCCTCAGTCTCTTAAAATACTTCCAGAGCCTGAGAGTCCCAAATCTCGGGGGTCCATGCCATTGTCACCCAGTGTGTTCACAGCAAAGAGCAGGAAATCAGCCAGTGGACAGAACTGCCCCGTGCTTCTCTTGCACTCATTCCAATCATGACCTTTCTCACTATGCATGTGAGACATACCTAGTATAATATGGCAACTTCATTCAGGAAGTCTTCATGCTTTAGAGAGGGAAGGCAAGGTTTCTTTCTCTCATGTTCCTCATATATTTCTGATCATGATTGATTAATAAGAGGGAGGAACTGAAAGACTGAGAAGTAGATAGAACAGGTCAAGATGCTTGTGGTATAAAAATCAGAAATTCATTATTTCACTGTTGCTCTCAGTCACCAAATTTCTTCAGGTCTCCCTTTTTATCTCAGACATTCATCTTTTAGTTACGTAGTTTAAATGTTATCCCTTTGTTGCTAAATTTCCTTTTATCTCACAGAAACATCTCTAATTCCTTTGATTTATGATGGAAGTTAAAAGAGAACTGAGGTCATGGAAGACATTTTGCCTACGGAGAAATACTATTTCTGTTTTGTTTGTAAGACAACGACTTGTCTTAGGGTTTGGGGTTTTTTGTTTGTTTGTTTTAAACAAACATTGCTTTTGCAAGGTTACTTCTCCCAGCTAAACTATCTGGAGGAAAAAGAGCTCAGCAACTTAGTAGGACTTTGGATAGAATTTGTCCTGTATATAAGAGATTTTCAGAGACATTTTAAGTGTTTCTTCCTTGATAACTTCCAGTGCTGCCTCCTCTAATTACATAGGGCACAGCTCTCAAAAGTACAGCACTATGTTATTATACTGTATAAATACCTTAGTAACAAGTGTGGGTTTGTTTTTTTCTTTTTCATACAAACTAGTTGCGTACGTTTGACTTCTGTTACATGGCAATAACATGTATGTGGATGCTCTTTAATTCCAGTGTTTGCTCCAGAGTTCGATTTTAATATTAATTGATTCATCATTGAATGACTTCAAGTAACCATACTATCTGAATCATCTTTATAACCATGGTAACCTTCTGCCCATTCCTTGGAAAGTTATATTGCCAGATTAATTATCTGCTGTCTTTCTTGCTTGCAAAAAAAAAAAAAAATAGATGACTGATACTGCAGTGGGGCATAGAGAGTGATGAGCACTTTACTGTTGTAGCAGGTCAGCTAAAGAGCAATCAGTTAAAGCAAGGTTGTATGATTTCATATGGCAAACAGTGCATTCTTAAAAGTCTTCAGCAAAGGCAGGGTGTTTTGTTTCAGGTCAACCGTTTGTAAATCCTGATGGAACGCCGGCAATATACAACCCTCCCAGTGGCCAGCAGACGATGAGGAGCCAGATGGTGGGGCAGTCCCAGCAGCAGCCTTCATCCCAGCAGCCTCAGCAGGTTCAACAGCCACAGCAGCAAATGGCAAGTCACCTTGTCACACAGGTAGGTCTGGTGGCCATTGGAAAAAGAGAAGAAGCTCTCAGAAATATGAAGGGTGACATAAAGGGTAGGAGGGAAGGATGCAGCTAGACAAAATATCAGGATATTCTTCTTTTCTTTTGAAACATATGGGGCCCATGATCTGTGTATTCAACGTGGATGAAACAGATGGAGAGGGAAGATTCCATCTAAAAGATGGTTTCGTTTTGAAAAGGACTGTTAAGTGAGTTGGTATATATTTATATAAATTTATTTTGCAAAAAATCACCTGTAAGTGAAAGCTGAAGCATTCATTCTCAAACTGGTTTGTAATTCTCTCCAAAGAGCCAGGGACCTTTCCCTGTCCCTTTTGACAGCAGTGGAGTTGAGTCAAAGTATGAAGTCCAGTGCAAGACTATAAACTCTTCCATGTCTGGTTATATCAGGCAGAATCTATGGGTAACCCGCTGTGTGAGCACCCCTGCCCCACACCATGGGTCTTCTGCCTGCACACCATGTTCTGACTATGACCCTGCTCTGAGCTAGATGCTCTGGAGATGCAGCAGGAGAGGGAAGAGCAGCCCAGTCTGGGCACAGGCCATGGTATGTCAGATCTCTGGTCCCTGGGCTGGCCATGGCATATGGCCAGATGTGGCTAAGCATGGGCAGCAGGGTTTGGGTCAGATTCAAAGCTTCATTTCATTGTACGCCTGCTCTCCCAGGGCAGAACAGGTGGAGGAAACCACTCAAGTAAGAGTCCTACATCTTGCTTACTTCCAGAGCAGCCAAGATGTACTATGGTTCTTTTGTGGCTTTATAATTTGGCACAGTTTCTTCCCAGGTTACCCAGAAATACAATGTTTAAATTCAATGAAGTTGCTTTGATTTTACTGGGAATTATGTGGTTTTGGTACTTATTTCTTGATTTGGTCTTAGTTTTAGAAGATGGAGGTGGTACCAAACCTGTGTAAGACTCAAGTTAAAAGAGAGATTAAAACAAAAGTTAAAAAGTTAAAGTTATTCCAAGGTAATAGTGCTGTGCTTTCACTTAGGTAGACATCTGCTCCAAGCTGACAGGTCTGTCTCTGTTGTTAATTCACAGCCTGTTCTTTGTCAATTTTTTATTTTTTTTTTTAGCTATTGTGTTCTGCCAAAGCAGCTTTAAAATCATTATTCCTTTGCCTATGACACACTTGGATTTAGATCACTCATTATCAGCAGAATTCAAATATAAACTTATACTGTGCTGCTCCTCCATTTTATCTGTTTAAATTAAGTGTAGAATCGTAATTTGGCTTTGCCTCCCGTCAGTAACAAAAAGGTGCGGCTGTGGCTTTTTTTAATTTAACAGCCATCAAATTATATGAAGATAGGCAAAAAAGTCTGTAATAAAGAGCTGTTTGATATAAGGCTAAAACGAAGACTAAAATTGCAGCACCTGATCTCTTGTATTTGGGCTGGTTATGAGTCACCTGCATTTTCAGAGGTGTGTTTGTAATCTTTGTTCTCAGTAACAGAGTTTGTAGTTGTTGTTATCTATCTCAAGTAGGTTGTATTTATTGTCTTTTGTTGTGTTTATTTTGCAGCCTGTTCAGGCAATGCAGCCATCTTCTCAGTCAGTCCAGTATCCAGCAGTTTCTTATCCTCCCCAGCATCTCCTGCCAGTCTCTCCAACGCAGCAGTTTTCTGTGGTACTGAGCATTTCTTTTTGTTGTTTTTCATTCCTTGAAGTTGAATGTGTGAGCATGAGTATGCCCTAGAGCCTCTTGGGGAGCACTGCAAGTGGTGTCCCACATGAAAGCCCCATCTAAATGCTCCTTGGCCTTAACACTTTAGGTACTGACAAGCGTTTTGTAAGAGCATTCCTACTGATTCTGGTAATCTCACCTAGAGGAGGATTATCAAGAAGCACATGGATCTGGTGCTTCAGAACATGATTTAGTGGGCATGGTCATGTTAGGTTGATGGCTGGACTAGATGATCTTAAAGGTCTCTTCCAACCTTTATGATTCTATGTTAGAAACAGGGTTCTCTACCTCCTTAGCAAAGCCTCCAAAAAATGTTTTCTTGGTTCTGATAGGAACTTGTCTCCCCACTTTATGTCGATGGAGTCTAAATTGCTAACTTGAGCATTTGAGGTTTGGATCATCCCCCTTTATGTCCACGAACACTGGAGAAGAGACCTCTAGTAATGGTTATTTTTTATTTTATATTATTTTATGAGTATACTGTATCAACTGCCTAGATTTATTTCCTGATGATACACTGGGAAAACAGAGTAGTGGTGAGCCAGCTGCAGGTATGGTGCGCTGTGCATCATGACAAAGCACCAATGGACATGTATAATAAAAATAAATAAAGTCCTCTTCTGGAGTCTGAACCTGGCTTGGTGCTTACAGGGCTGAGATTATACTGTTGTAAAATGAAGCTGACATTTTAAGAGGCACTACAAGATCTTTTTCTGTTGTTATTATCTCTTGCTCTGATAATCTTGTTTATGACCGATTTTTTTTTTTTATTTTATTTTATTCCCCCCCCC